CTTGTCGTCTATGATCTGGCAGTCGCGGTGGACGTGGAGTTCATGCCGTTTTATTTCTGGACATGCATGTGGTGCTCCCTCTTCACCGTCCTAGTGGCGGTCTTCGACTTGTGTGCTCTCATGAAGCACGTCACTATGTTCAGCGAAGACATCTTCGCTGGATGCTCAGCGATATTATTTGTGCTTAACTTTTTCACATTGATTGTTGCTGGAGTTTGATTTTTGTAATGCAAGTAACTTGAGAATGTGATATGTTTTTCCTTGAGGGTTTATTGACAGACCCAGGATTGATCTCGCTCATCTTCATCATCGATGGTGCGCGGCCGATCATCGAGAATTTCACGGAAAACAGGCTGACGCTGACGAACTGCATGTTTGAAGCTCTCTTGTTCATCTGGACATTCGGCTTAGCGACTTACTTGTCCAGCTTCCGCCGAAGCCCTTGGACCTTCCGTTTTGTTCGCAACTTTGCGGCCAATTTCGCAGTGACCATCGCTTTGGTTAGTGGCTCCGCGTTGGCCGCCATTTACTCCAACGACACAGGCCTGAGAATGTTGCAGGTGGACGCAGACTTCTCGCCGAACTTGAGTTTGTCCGACGGCAGCAAGCGGCCGTGGATCATCAATCCCGCCGGCATGGACCGCCCCTTCCCAGCTTGGGGTATTGCTTATGCAATCCTCCCGGCGACTTCTTGACTAGAGGAGATGTTTTTGCTCTCCTCTAGTTTTTGGGGCTCTAGGGGAATATATCTGTAATTAATGTAATTAGCATTACCTCAAGCACAGCTAAGGCGATTGGCTTCGCAGTCTTGGGTTACTTGGATCAAAATCTCACTTCTGTGATCGTGAATAGACCCTCCAACAACCTGAAGAAGCCGGCTGCATATCACCTGGATTTGCGCTCTGAGATCAGTTAGGATTCCTTTGATTTTTTGCCTTGGGGTTTCCTAGTATTTTAGCAAAGGGAGTCCATAAGCAATTATAGTTCTTCTTTCCTTCCTAAGACGGGCTCAGGTTTGTTCGGGGAGCACTCACGCTGCCCGTCTGCGCTGTGCTGGG